AAAGAGACAAATGCAGTCATGATATTAGAATTGATCCTGGGGTCTGGCCACAACCGTAGGGACCTAGTTTCTGCGTCACAGCTTGGAAACAGTTGAGATCCCCACCCCATAACCATACATAAAATTGCTGGGCATGAAAAATTGAATACAGATATATATGCTACAAGGATTGGCCTTGGGGTCTGGCATATTCCCTTGGATCTCATTTGGAGAATATTCTGCCATGATTGCTTAGATATCAAGGTGAGCGATACAGGCCCTATGGGCCTCTTGTTTTATAAAAGTGATAATTTATAAATAACATTTGTTTTACTGTGTACATTTTTTGAAGTGTGTACAACCAATGAATGTTATATTTTGATTTGTCATTAACTGTATATAATGAAGATACTTTTCTTGCTGTAGTAAAAGTTGTGAGTAAGCCCAGTGCTCTTGACCCCTTTCTTGGAACGTAACCCGGTTAAATATGTGGTGTCTTTTCATAAAGTTCTCAGAATATACAATATTTTGTTTTTAAAACTTCCATTCTGTTTTCTTTTTCATGTTCTACTTCTGCAGGGCGTAAGTATACACCAAACCAGCGGTTAACACCTGTGGCTAGTAACCACGAAGTTGGTACTTGTATGATGTACCTCTAATAGATCCGGGCATATTAAGTATTACCACTATAAGGACAGACCATCCTGTCAAATGGGCTGGAGTTATATGTAATTTATTGTTAGGTCGACCATTAACAGAGCTGGAGTTACATGTAATTTATTGTTAGGTCGACCATTAACAGAGCTGCCATTAACATTCAAAAAGTTCACTTTGCACTTACACCTTGATAAAATGGAAAATTGTCCCCTGATTTAACAAAATTGTGGTGTAAGGTTGTTCTGTGCAATGAATAGATTGTCTTTGAGCAAAAAGCAGAATACAGATAATGTGTGCTTAGTTTAAAAGTAAGACAATGAGGGTAGTGAGTATTCTGGAATCTCCCTTAAATAAGGAGACTTGACATTGCTGGACGTTTTTATGTTTTTGTGTGGATGTTTAACAGCTAATTAATCATTGTCCTGTGTTTCTCTTCCTTGTGATGGCTGCTGTGTTGGTTTGGACGTATTTCATCATCACATTAGTATGTAAGTATACACCAAATACAAGACAGTATTTTTAATCATTATTTCTGTTTTAATTATTTCAACATAAAGAAATCAAACATTTTCATGATCTTTCTTTCTTATTTTAAATTAAAATTACTTTGTTACCAGGAAAATTGATCTATAATGCATTTCACATGAAATTTCTAAACAGCAGGATTGGTCTGTATTTTATATCCTCTGTATTCCTTTTTGTAGACTGCAGTTCATTGGGCAGCAAAACATGGTAAATCAGAGGTGGTGAAACTGGTGTTAAGTAAGGGCAGCACTGATGTGAACAGGAGAACGGTAAGCAGTAGTTTTATATATACTTACCTCACCTTTAAAGTCGTAACGGGATTTCTCATGTAAAAAACTATTTTGAAGTAAAGATCAGAAAGAATGTAAAAGATGACTATTTATAGATTACTTTTATACACATATGTGTACAGGTATATGTTATTATATATTATACAGTCCATTGGTAGGTACAATAAAACATATCACCACACACCTGTAAGGTACAGTATATCTTGTAAGATAAAAAGAGACATTTGTAGTTCCCCCGATTATAACTAGTGCAATAAGAAACTACATAAAAATTAAATCCCAGTGATATATGGAATACCCCCACCCAAACAACCCAACCCCCTGATAACTAATTACACTTGTTCTGTATACATTTGTACCTGATGTAAAATTGAGTTGGTAGTTACAATGGGTCATATCTATATATTTATTTCATATTTTCTTTTCTTTTCCATATCACCTGGATACACAGAATGTGAGTATACTGTATATGACGAGTTATATTTTAGACATAAACTGAAGTGTATGATATACCTGTCATCAGTTGATCCTTATATGTTTTCAAGATCTCCATCAATTTTTCGTAAAGACGGAACAAAAGCAAGGGAAGATAGAAGATAACATATTCAAAATGTCTTCGGTGAGAGGGAAAGATCAGCTTTTCTGCTGCTCGTGTAAAGAACATTATTGCTGCAACTATTCCAGGACCTTGGATTATTTATGTAAAATATCAATGACCATTTCACTGTGTATTAATGTGCTAATTAAACGTTTTATCCTGAATTGTTTTGGTGTATTAGTTGTGTAAGTAACCCTTGTTGTCAGACCCGATGATTGTTTTGGTGTATACGTTGTGTAAGTAACCCTTGTTGTCAGACCTGATGATTGTTTTGGTGTATTAGTTGTGTAAGTAACCCTTGTTGTCAGACCTGATGATTGTTTTGGTGTATTAGTTGTGTAAGTAACCCTTGTTGTCAGACCTGATGATTGTTTTGGTGTATTAGTTGTGTAAGTAACCCTTGTTGTCAGACCTGATGATTGTTTTGGTGTATTAGTTGTGTAAGTAACCCTTGTTGTCAGACCTGATGATTGTTTTGGTGTATTAGTTGTGTAAGTAACCCTTGTTGTCAGACCTGATGATTGTTTTGGTGTATTAGTTGTGTAAGTAACCCTTGTTGTCAGACCTGATGATTGTTTTGGTGTATTAGTTGTGTAAGTAACCCTTGTTGTCAGACCTGATGATTGTTTTGGTGTATTAGTTGTGTAAGTAACCCTTGTTGTCAGACCTGATGATTGTTTTGGTGTATTAGTTGTGTAAGTAACCCTTGTTGTCAGACCTGATGATTGTTTTGGTGTATTAGTTGTGTAAGTAACCCTTGTTGTCAGACCTGATGATTGTTTTGGTGTATTAGTTGTGTAAGTAACCCTTGTTGTCAGACCTGATGATTGTTTTGGTGTATTAGTTGTGTAAGTAACCCTTGTTGTCAGACCTGATGATTGTTTTGGTGTATTAGTTGTGTAAGTAACCCTTGTTGTCAGACCTGATGATTGTTTTGGTGTATTAGTTGTGTAAGTAACCCTTGTTGTCAGACCTGATGATTGTTTTGGTGTATTAGTTGTGTAAGTAACCCTTGTTGTCAGACCTGATGATTGTTTTGGTGTATTAGTTGTGTAAGTAACCCTTGTTGTCAGACCTGATGATTGTTTTGGTGTATTAGTTGTGTAAGTAACCCTTGTTGTCAGACCTGATGATTGTTTTGGTGTATTAGTTGTGTAAGTAACCCTTGTTGTCAGACCTGATGATTGTTTTGGTGTATTAGTTGTGTAAGTAACCCTTGTTGTCAGACCTGATGATTGTTTTGGTGTATTAGTTGTGTAAGTAACCCTTGTTGTCAGACCTGATGATTGTTTTGGTGTATTAGTTGTGTAAGTAACCCTTGTTGTCAGACCTGATGATTGTTTTGGTGTATTAGTTGTGTAAGTAACCCTTGTTGTCAGACCTGATGATTGTTTTGGTGTATTAGTTGTGTAAGTAACCCTTGTTGTCAGACCTGATGATTGTTTTGGTGTATTAGTTGTGTAAGTAACCCTTGTTGTCAGACCTGATGATTGTTTTGGTGTATTAGTTGTGTAAGTAACCCTTGTTGTCAGACCTGATGATTGTTTTGGTGTATTAGTTGTGTAAGTAACCCTTGTTGTCAGACCTGATGATTGTTTTGGTGTATTAGTTGTGTAAGTAACCCTTGTTGTCAGACCTGATGATTGTTTTGGTGTATTAGTTGTGTAAGTAACCCTTGTTGTCAGACCTGATGATTGTTTTGGTGTATTAGTTGTGTAAGTAACCCTTGTTGTCAGACCTGATGATTGTTTTGGTGTATTAGTTGTGTAAGTAACCCTTGTTGTCAGACCTGATGATTGTTTTGGTGTATTAGTTGTGTAAGTAACCCTTGTTGTCAGACCTGATGATTGTTTTGGTGTATTAGTTGTGTAAGTAACCCTTGTTGTCAGACCTGATGATTGTTTTGGTGTATTAGTTGTGTAAGTAACCCTTGTTGTCAGACCTGATGATTGTTTTGGTGTATTAGTTGTGTAAGTAACCCTTGTTGTCAGACCTGATGATTGTTTTGGTGTATTAGTTGTGTAAGTAACCCTTGTTGTCAGACCTGATGATTGTTTTGGTGTATTAGTTGTGTAAGTAACCCTTGTTGTCAGACCTGATGATTGTTTTGGTGTATTAGTTGTGTAAGTAACCCTTGTTGTCAGACCTGATGATTGTTTTGGTGTATTAGTTGTGTAAGTAACCCTTGTTGTCAGACCTGATGATTGTTTTGGTGTATTAGTTGTGTAAGTAACCCTTGTTGTCAGACCTGATGATTGTTTTGGTGTATTAGTTGTGTAAGTAACCCTTGTTGTCAGACCTGATGATTGTTTTGGTGTATTAGTTGTGTAAGTAACCCTTGTTGTCAGACCTGATGATTGTTTTGGTGTATTAGTTGTGTAAGTAACCCTTGTTGTCAGACCTGATGATTGTTTTGGTGTATTAGTTGTGTAAGTAACCCTTGTTGTCAGACCTGATGATTGTTTTGGTGTATTAGTTGTGTAAGTAACCCTTGTTGTCAGACCTGATGATTGTTTTGGTGTATTAGTTGTGTAAGTAACCCTTGTTGTCAGACCTGATGATTGTTTTGGTGTATTAGTTGTGTAAGTAACCCTTGTTGTCAGACCTGATGATTGTTTTGGTGTATTAGTTGTGTAAGTAACCCTTGTTGTCAGACCTGATGATTGTTTTGGTGTATTAGTTGTGTAAGTAACCCTTGTTGTCAGACCTGATGATTGTTTTGGTGTATTAGTTGTGTAAGTAACCCTTGTTGTCAGACCTGATGATTGTTTTGGTGTATTAGTTGTGTAAGTAACCCTTGTTGTCAGACCTGATGATTGTTTTGGTGTATTAGTTGTGTAAGTAACCCTTGTTGTCAGACCTGATGATTGTTTTGGTGTATTAGTTGTGTAAGTAACCCTTGTTGTCAGACCTGATGATTGTTTTGGTGTATTAGTTGTGTAAGTAACCCTTGTTGTCAGACCTGATGATTGTTTTGGTGTATTAGTTGTGTAAGTAACCCTTGTTGTCAGACCTGATGATTGTTTTGGTGTATTAGTTGTGTAAGTAACCCTTGTTGTCAGACCTGATGATTGTTTTGGTGTATTAGTTGTGTAAGTAACCCTTGTTGTCAGACCTGATGATTGTTTTGGTGTATTAGTTGTGTAAGTAACCCTTGTTGTCAGACCTGATGATTGTTTTGGTGTATTAGTTGTGTAAGTAACCCTTGTTGTCAGACCTGATGATTGTTTTGGTGTATTAGTTGTGTAAGTAACCCTTGTTGTCAGACCTGATGATTGTTTTGGTGTATTAGTTGTGTAAGTAACCCTTGTTGTCAGACCTGATGATTGTTTTGGTGTATTAGTTGTGTAAGTAACCCTTGTTGTCAGACCTGATGATTGTTTTGGTGTATTAGTTGTGTAAGTAACCCTTGTTGTCAGACCTGATGATTGTTTTGGTGTATTAGTTGTGTAAGTAACCCTTGTTGTCAGACCTGATGATTGTTTTGGTGTATTAGTTGTGTAAGTAACCCTTGTTGTCAGACCTGATGATTGTTTTGGTGTATTAGTTGTGTAAGTAACCCTTGTTGTCAGACCTGATGATTGTTTTGGTGTATTAGTTGTGTAAGTAACCCTTGTTGTCAGACCTGATGATTGTTTTGGTGTATTAGTTGTGTAAGTAACCCTTGTTGTCAGACCTGATGATTGTTTTGGTGTATTAGTTGTGTAAGTAACCCTTGTTGTCAGACCTGATGATTGTTTTGGTGTATTAGTTGTGTAAGTAACCCTTGTTGTCAGACCTGATGATTGTTTTGGTGTATTAGTTGTGTAAGTAACCCTTGTTGTCAGACCTGATGATTGTTTTGGTGTATTAGTTGTGTAAGTAACCCTTGTTGTCAGACCTGATGATTGTTTTGGTGTATTAGTTGTGTAAGTAACCCTTGTTGTCAGACCTGATGATTGTTTTGGTGTATTAGTTGTGTAAGTAACCCTTGTTGTCAGACCTGATGATTGTTTTGGTGTATTAGTTGTGTAAGTAACCCTTGTTGTCAGACCTGATGATTGTTTTGGTGTATTAGTTGTGTAAGTAACCCTTGTTGTCAGACCTGATGATTGTTTTGGTGTATTAGTTGTGTAAGTAACCCTTGTTGTCAGACCTGATGATTGTTTTGGTGTATTAGTTGTGTAAGTAACCCTTGTTGTCAGACCTGATGATTGTTTTGGTGTATTAGTTGTGTAAGTAACCCTTGTTGTCAGACCTGATGATTGTTTTGGTGTATTAGTTGTGTAAGTAACCCTTGTTGTCAGACCTGATGATTGTTTTGGTGTATTAGTTGTGTAAGTAACCCTTGTTGTCAGACCTGATGATTGTTTTGGTGTATTAGTTGTGTAAGTAACCCTTGTTGTCAGACCTGATGATTGTTTTGGTGTATTAGTTGTGTAAGTAACCCTTGTTGTCAGACCTGATGATTGTTTTGGTGTATTAGTTGTGTAAGTAACCCTTGTTGTCAGACCTGATGATTGTTTTGGTGTATTAGTTGTGTAAGTAACCCTTGTTGTCAGACCTGATGTGATGTTTCTAGTGCTGCACCGTTAAGCATGAACTAACGAAATATTCCACCATTCTATTTCCATATGATGATCCTGTCGTTGGTTGGTCACTTGACTGCTACCGTTATCAGGGGGTAAGTTCTTATCTGTGTAGAAATATATTTCTCTCGTTCCTGTGTATGTATAGTTGAGCTGTCCAGGGCAAGAGGGAGTGTAGGAGATTATATCTTACTCCCCATTTCATGGGTATGACATCACAACTGGACTACAATCAAATAACCTCACAAAATCAGGAAAACCTGATACCTGATGTGGAAACTTTAATGCTGGTGAAATTGAAAGCTATTCATCAACCCTTTTAAGTGAAAAGGATGGGATATGTTAAATCTTGTTGAACAGACAGCTCAGAATAAAATTGATATTTCCAATAAGTACCCTAGCAAAGGCACATGGAACGAGAGAGCAAAAAGTAGTGTGTAGGGCAATCCCAACCAAGGAAATATTTTCTTCAAGCCTCAGATTTTCCCCGATTTGAAACCCCTCAGATGTGATTTCCTTATACTACACCCCTATTCATGAAATAGTCTTATAATGGTAATTCGGTATATGATGCAATTAAATAAAAGAATCTGAAATCTGACAAGATTTTTTTCTGATTTATAAGGTGACTGGTACACGATTAAAGTTTTAGTTTTTGGTTACCATTTGTGAATATGCATATACTGTGATTGTTATGGATTTTGATTTGAAATATAAATATTTCAAGTTGTTCAGTTAACAATAGTTAACCAATACAGTAAAGCTTATCTGTGATGACCACCCAATAGATAGAGCAAAGTGGTCTTATAGAAAGTTTATTACATAGAAACCATTGTGGATAAAGTAAAGCTTATCTGTTATGACCACCCAATAGATAGAGCAAAATGGTGTATAGAAAGTTTATTACATAGAAATCATTGTGGATAAAGTAAAGCTTATCTGTTATGACCACCCAATAGATAGAGCAAAATGTTCTTATAGAAAGTTTATTACATAGAAACCATTGTGGATAAAGTAAAGCTTATCTGTGATGACCACCCAATAAATAGAGCAAAATGGTGTATAGAAAGTTTATTACATAGAAATCATTGTGGATAAAGTAAAGCTTATCTGTTAAAACCATCCTAGGAATAGAACAAAATGGTGTATAGAAAGGTTATCACATAGAAATCATTGTGGATACGACTAAGGTGATCTTTATAGACAGATGGCAGGTTTCTCTGTATACAAAATAATTTGTGATTAACCTCCTGTTATATGTGTTTACAGGGCTACACACCTCTACACCTTGCCTCCATGCACGGCCATGAACAGATCATAGAGCTACTGGTACAGACATTCAGTAAGTATTTATATACCTTAAGGTAATAGGATTGTGTCACCATTTCTCAGTAGAATTTCTTCAAATTTTGTAGTTATATTGCTTTGAAGTAAAGAAAATATTCTGCCACAAAAAAAATATAGGTTGTCAGAATTTTAGGGATTTTAAATGGAAATTTATGTAAAAAGGATTGAAATTTGAAGAAAAAAATGAAAGACACAATTTTTGGCAAAATAATGTCAATAAAAATGATACTGACATAGATTAGTTTTGCGTTAATGTATATATCAATTTAATAAATGCTGAAATTGTATAAAATTAATTAACTACAAACGGTTAAAAATTGACATTTTATAATAAAACCATATACACATAGTAATTGCATGTTAGAGTTATCTTTCTTGAAAAACTTCACAGAAGTGAAATAGGTAGCCAGTTTCCTAAAGTACAGAAAAATGGACACATGCGAGTCATTGATAAAAAACAACTGAATTAATGCCTGGATTTCTTTGAAATATTGAGAGAACACACTGTTCTGTCAATAATAAACATACAATATTCATCAATTTAATATTAAACATTAGAATATGCGGAAATTGTGATACTGTCTCCCTACATTGGATTTTCAACTAGGGATGTACTTCCTATTTTCGTTTATCAATACACTCCTATGACCTTAACAACCATTAAAATGGACTGAATTTAATGGATGTCCCTGATGTGCTATGTGTTCTTTGTCTACTACTCTACAGTAGCAGTCGGTGATATGAGCAGGTCTAGGATTTAGGGCGAAAGTTTAAAATTATTGTATATCAAATGTAATTGGTTCATTAAGAAGAATTAAAATTGTTGACATGATTATTTCTCCATTTCAGAAGCTGATCCAAACATTCGAGACTTCAGCGGAAAAAAGGCAAAGCAGTATCTACCCAACTCAGCATCCACCAAGGCCCAACGTAAGCAAATCGTTCCTTCGGTACCTAACCCTGGCCCAGGGGACATAACCCATGATCTAACATCCTCCGTCACCCTACAGGGGCCGGAGCTCCCATCCTCAGCTCGGTCCTCCCTGGTCCTCCGGAGGTCAACAGGGGCGGAGTCTAACTCTCGACAAAGTCTCAGATCTTCCATACAAATACAACACCTCGGTATGGGTGGCCTATGACCTTCAACCTCCTGTGGAGTTATTAGTTTGCCAGGATGAGGTCTTATATTTCTTGACCTCTGATCTCTTTGTTAATGACTTTATGTTCCAAGTTCTATTTTTAAAAGATTGTTAGGTGACTAGAAATTTTAAACAAAGCTTGTCTTCTTAATCAACATGTTTAACCTCAACCCCTGATTATAGTCCTCAATATAGTGAGTGATGGGGACATTTATGTTTAAGGCGGAGCTATGTGATCTTTTGACCCTGGTACACTTCCTGTTGACTGATTTGAGTGACAGGTTGTCCTTAGTAGCGGGCTCAGTAACGCGACTTTAGTTGTACACAGAGAGCAGCCGTTGTTTTGAAGGCAGCAGAGAATCTGAACATTTCCTTTTCAGTGTATATATCATATAGCTTTTTTAAGTAATTGTTGCTTTAATGTATAAACCAAAATATATGCAGCAAAATCTACTGCTAATCAGACGAGACAAAGCTTGGAAGAAGCTTGTCAATTAACATATATCATTCCTAGCCATGTAAACCTAATATCGCTCAGTGCTGTTAAACAAGTAACCTTATGTTTGTATTACCCCGCTTTCAGACACTGAACATGTTATATTCCACTCAGATTGCTTTAAAATGTTTACTAAGACAGATAAGAAACGAGCAGCAAGTATGTGGGTGCATGTGTATTGAAAACCACAGTTAATTAACACCCCAAATGCTGGTTTGGTTGTTATCAGTCAGCCTGTCCGTTGTTTGTTAGAGTGGTGCTGTGATAGACGGGTCTGGAGCTCTCAGCCCACCACTGTGTTGGTTATGGTCATCTTGAACAAGACATTGATTCAGACGAGGGGTTTATACATATACTTGTGTTTCTTGGAGAATTGTGATATCACTTAATAACAACAATTGTAACTGAAATTAGGATGTGAATTAAGGGCTCAAGACTAGGAATGCTTTACTTATTATAAGCCAAATTTATACTCATTTTATAGACACAAGGATTCAACTTCATTTATAAACATGTTAACACTTAACTATATAATTATTTATAGACACAAAAATCTAACTTAATTTATAGACCCACTTTCCCAGAAAGCCTTTTTTTTTACAGACAATGAAATATTTTCCACAGTGTATTGGTATAAGTTGTATAGAGTACAGGCTAGATGCTCTTTTTGGACATTCCTCTAGTCACAAATTACAGATATAGCTGTTCCTGTTATAGTTTGATAGATAATCAGTAATTGTTACTCACCCTAAGGTTAGACTTGTTACTCACCCTAAGGTTAGACTTGTTACTCAACCTAAGGTTAGTAATTGTTACTCACCCTAAGGTTAGACTTGTTACTCACCCTAAGGTTAGTAATTGTTACTCACCCTAAGGTTAGACTTGTTACTCACCCTAAGGTTAGACTTGTTACTCACCCTAAGGTTAGACTTGTTACTCACCCTAAGGTTAGATTTGAGATTTTATCCTAGTTGATGTATGTTGATGTGGTACGGGACTATAACTGTTTAACTTGTTGAATCACTGTTTATTTGTTAGATTATTTTTACGTGTGCCTTATATTCTACCAGATTGATGTTTTATTATAAACATTTGTGATACTAAACATGTTTACGATACTCATATATTCATATCTACATATATTGGTTACTGTATTCTCCATGTTTTCTTGATTTTATTATGCTATATCTACAAACAATTACTAGTTGCTTGCCATTTTCTAAAAATTGTGTTTTAAAAGAGTTTAATATATTCTACTAAAAACTACAAATAGAACTGCTTACCACTGTAGTTCTACAATTATAAAAAAAAAAATGAGTATTCTATAGACTTTAAAATAAGCTATAGATTGATTGAAATATACATGTACAGTTTGTTTACACAAATATTTGTTTTATGTTTTACATAAAAACTAGTGCTCATGTACCTAACTACAAGCCAGGCCAGTCCTCTCCACTTCTACCTAACCTCAACGAAACTTATTTCAAACCAATAACATACCTGAATTTCAGGTGAACAGTTACTTGTTCTGCTCTTTTATTTAAATAATCACATGATAACCATAGAATTGATATAATCATTAGTTAATAATGCTGATCTTTTCCTTGAACGCTTCGTCTGTTACAGAATGACTGCTTTATAGCAGTCAATGATGCTATTGATTAATTACTAAAATGTTACACTTAACCGATATTAAGTTTCAATGTAATGTCAGTGTGGTCCTATCATGAGTGTGTTTGGCATGATTACTGATTGGGGAAAGTAAATATCTTTAACACCAAATGATGCAGTAACTTACTATTAATCACTAAATAAAATAATATTTACACTTACTAGAAACAGAGCATGGTTTCTCCAAAACATGTATGTGTTTCACCACTGCCATGTAACATTCAACAGTGTGACTTCACCCCCTGTATAATAAACAACAGTGGGACTGTTTCACCCCCTGGATAATAAACAACAGTGGGACTGTTTCACCCCCTGTATAATAAACAACAGTGGGACTGTTTCACCTATTCCTTTTCGTGTAATTCTTTTTTTTTTGTAGATATTTTGTATACAAGTTATAACAGTTATATATTTCAAATAATAACAATTATTTACTCAATTTATAGACCATCTATATAAGAATTCATATATCTAATTTGTCATTTTATTTTTTATCTTTAGCACTGAAGCTAGACACTGGTAAATAATCCTTAGAGTCTCTGATCCCTAAATTTAATGTCAAATGACATTTTACTGATTCTTCTACACTTTCCTTGATTCTAAATCAATGATTTGACTGTCATGTAATTTTCAGACAATGATAACTGTCGGTGTGTACATTTTTTGACAGATGACGTTCACTACCGCAGTATTATCTCCCCTGATTGATTATCTCCCCCTGATGGGACTCACAGAAAGAATAGCTTGACCGATCTGTCTCGCACCTTTATGCGAAATTGGCAGCAATTATCACATATTGCCATATTCATCCATGTGTAAAAAAAAAAAAAAAAAATGTTTTCAAATATTCTATTTTTTGGTTAAACATACTTTTTTTATTGTGCCTCATATGTGACTATATTAGAGAATCTAAGCCCTCGAATGACTTAACCTGATCACAGTTATATTGACATCATGACATTGAACTCGCTAGTCTTTAAAAGTTGTCGTTGTGATATGTACAGTGGAGTCTCAACAGTGTTTTACTGGTTTTATTGAATATTTTTCAGATCAAACAAAGTATTTAAGCGTTATATTTCATCGTTCATCAATTACATTTTCGATATACATTTGTACATGTAACTTAAACAGCTTGCCATTGGCCGATGTCTGTGAAAATTCAGGATAAATTATTTAAATTGTCCGTGGAACATAAGTGAATTTTATTCTGCCACTCAGAATAACCCCCAGTAAAAGCATTACAGCATGTATTACTATATTTTTAATGTTTGTTTTTTACCATTTTATCATTTAACAGGATGTGTTTACAAGAGAGGAGCGATTAGAGATAGTCTGCAATCTGAGGTCTTCTTATACAGTTTATCCTTAGCCCCCGAATGATCATGTGACAATATTTATTTGCATTCTGAAAATTTCATTTGCTTATTAAGTTCATTAAACATAATTTTGCGGGTATTTATTTAATAGTTCAATGTTTACTGCACAAGATGACTGACAGCATTAGGACACCTTTAGCATTAGGACTGACAAAACCCTGACCTCATTTGCATATTACAAACAATGCATTGCAGCTGTGCATTCGTGCTTTGAAACTTCTATCTGAATGTATCTTTTTAAAATGCATTAGATTAACTTTGTTCTTTGATGAGCACTACCTGAGCTCCTCATTCCTACCATCTTATATACAAACACCTTCACTGCCTCGGGAAGGACACAGTACTATGTTACAGCCATGACTATAAATAGATTTATTATAGAGTAGCTCAAATCCTTTGCCTTCATTTGGGTTCTCAATTCACCACGTTGACCTCGTAAAGGGTAATTAGATGTACATGTAGTTATATAAAATTGTCATATTTTATTTCTTAGGAGACTTAATAGCATCATTGATTTTTTATTGATTTGTTCAGCTTGCCACTTTAATGAAATATAATAAAATAATAAATGCATGTTAATGTCAAATTACACTAACTACTGAAAATCTAGTCCCTCATTAAAAGGCTGCTTTATACTGAAAACTCATACACTATAAATTTACCAAAATAATAATAATCTAATATCTAATAAGGAAAACCAAGATGAAATAAATACTGGTAGATTCCATGCAAAAAAATATATCTGATTTTGGTTTGTTAGTTTTCCATAAAGTCTGGTTGGTTGTCTTTATTTGTTAATTACAGCAAACATCTGAAAAATCTAAATTATTCTATCACCTTGTAACAGTGCCTTATTAATTTAAGTTTATAAATTGGAAAACAAAATGCAGAAAGTTACAGTTAATTGTTATCAATTGTCAAATTGCAGGGTTAAATAATATTGGAAAAAATTACCAGAACTCATGCATGAAGCATTCTGCAAGTTGGTACAGTTATTTATTGTGAATTGTTATTTTTGCAATCTTACACCTAGCATGAATGATCTTACTATTTAAAACCAACATGGAATGCATGTGTAGGTGACCATGCCAGGCATGAGAGAAGATTGACTCGTATCAGCATGTCTTTTAGACACCACTCCCAGTAAATACAGAAGATTGACTCGTATCAGCATGTCTTTTAGACACCACTCCCAGTAAATACAGTGAATTACAATATAATACACCACTTACCATATTTTATCATTATGCCAACAATTTTATTTAGCAATACTATATTTTGTTTCAGGGAACCTCAAGTTCAAAAATATAATCTTCATGACATGATTTTGATTTGCTTACCACTACAGCAACTGTTTATTAATCAATTAATATCTGTTAATTCCTGTGTCAGGTGTGTGGTATTTTAAAGTGATTTTCCTATAGACATTAAAATTAATGATGAATGAATTTCTTTAAAAAATACAATTTTCTAGAGGAAGCAAGATATAAATCATTTAACAATTGGTTATATACAGATAATTTCTGGGTAAAGTGTTTTGACAGGTGTTGTTTTGTCATCAAACCTTTCATTAGCAAAGCCACTTTACACAAAGATGAAATGTGTTGAATTTGTAGACAGTGAATCAGGATTTGATTTTCTACAAAATACTGAAACATCATATGCGTATCAAATAAGGCTTCTAGTAAATTCTGTCAGTATTTATAACTGATGATGATGATTTACATTTGATGTAGAATGTTTTCGTATGGCTGTCCGCTCCCTGCAGCCTTGCTTTACCTGCTTCTACCACAACCCTTCTATGTATTTGTCAATGTGTTTGTTACGTTACATTAAAACATCATAGCTACTCCCAGGTGTGCAGTCCAGCATTACTATCAATGTATGTAAAATTACAGTTGGTTTAATTGATTAAAACATGCAGCTAGTGTACGTTAACGTATTTTAATTTTTATCAAATTGTATGTTTTGTAGCTTTCCTCATCTTTTTACATTTTGATAATTGTAGTTACCAGTGTTGCCAGACTGATGTTTTACATAAAAGGCAATAGATATAGTGATGCCATGTCTCCTGGAAAACTTTATATATTTTATTCATTAAAATTATATCCATTCTTGCTGCCAAATAAAGCTGTGCTCACCACTCATTTCATGAACTATTCCAAATGCATAATCTTATTTTCTTTGTTTATTATAATCTGGTACAGTAGAACTTATAATTAACGGGTATGTTTTCAAGGTATTGACAATATAAATCTTAAAGATATATTGTGGGAAAGTTTAACATGTCACAAAGGCCAAATCAATCTATATATGTGTTTCCTGTAGCATTGCCTTCCCTATATATATTATACCAGTAATGAATAAACAATCTAGAAGACCGATTTGCTACCGTGTTGCCTAATTATGTTGCCTAATTAACCATAAATGGGAAATAGTTTTAACAAGTCTGTCTTCCAGTTTGTTTATTCATTAGCATGGTACCAATCACACAAACAGTATTAAGTTATTTCAATATATATATCTTTATTGTGTGTGTGTTTGGATAATTGATATTGTGTGCATTGGTACAGTTGTGGGATCACAATGTTACATGATGTGCAGTGTGTGTGCAATGTGCACACAGTATTTTTGGTGCGTTGTGCAGTCACACAACTGTATAATATGAAGCAGTTTTATACAAAATATACAGCAATAGTTTGTAAAATCATTCTGTATTCAACTGGGTGAAATATATAAATACCTGTCCTCAGGGTTTTTTAAACTGGCACTTCCCCATAATTTCTCTTCCTCTCTATCTCCAATGCCCTGTAACGTCTGAAAGTCAGGGTTCACGCCCATGTTGATTTCCGTTTAGCCTAGTTCTGCTGTACCAATGTATATATGATGTAATTTAAGTAACTGACAATAAACAGTTTATCAATTGTATTTTTGTTTTGTTTGTTTCTTATGCAGTACACCATTTTGTCAGTCTATCTACTCAAATATCTTAAATTAATTTGTCAGACATTGCTGTGTGCTAGAAATTGCTATCCTTTATACTGTACAGGTAGGACAGTACGTATAATCCTTGACTTTTCAAACAAGATAAAATCATAGGTTTTTTGCTGTGTATTTTAGTGATTTGATAAATGAAATCATTTTTTTTTGCTGTGTATTTTAGTGATTTGATAAATGAAATCATTGTTTTTTTGCTGTGTATTTTAGTGATTTGATAAATCTGAAGTTTTTTTTGTTGTATTCTGAGTGAAACTAGGTGGTTACTTAGCAGCTTTTTCTTAATTGATAGACAAGATTTAAACCTTTGGAGGTTTCTTTTTATTCGGTGAATTGTCATACATCTACAATGGAAGAAAAGATTCTCTCTCTTTGGAACCAACAACAAATTTATGTTTGTCCTATCATGCCATTAAAATTCACCTATATATTGAAAAATAGGAATGTTTGATTAATTCCAAAATTAGATAACTTTAACAGTGCAAAAAGGGGAAACCCATTATCAATATGGATGTGCATGTTTCATGTAAATTCATTTTTATCTTTTAGAAGAAAGGTTTACTTTTATATAATTAAAATTGGATGACCTCAGAGTGACTCCTCGTAATGTTTTTGTGTAAGTACGTTTTGATTATTTGGTATGATGTTTTCTTTCCTACTCCGATATATATTTTAGTGCTTAGAGAGTTATCTCCCTTCCTTTGAACCCCGCCCACACTTTATAGGTAATGGAGTTTCTTATTTAGTAATGTAGATTGGAATGAAGTTGTGATTTTTCATCTCTATATTTTAACAAATCTTTATCAATTGTAACTTCATAGTAGTTGTCTGATTATAATGTATATCTTTAATTTACTTACAATTTTTCTGAAGAAAATATTGAGATGTATTTAAAAATCATTATAAACAAATAAATTTGAAAATTAATAGTGTTTTAGCACTTCTACCCTTCTTCACTCATTATTTATCCTTGCATCAGTTTCTGGAATGAGACATGCACTCTGTACCTATAACCTGTTTGCAGTGTTTTTACCGGGGAACGCCACTGTGTGAATGAAGCTGTAGTCTCTAGTAAAATATACAATAGATATAAGTAGTAGACTAGATTTTTGTGGGAATCCAGATTTATGTATTAATGGAAAAGGAGTGTACATTTAAATAAAACTGAATCCTGGGACCAAATCCAGGGGTCGGAATGCCATCAAATAACTTTAACAGTGGGGAAATCTTCAGTTGAAATTTCAAGACAGCTATTTTTTTTTATTTTATTACATCTTTATCCAGGTAAAAACATCTTTTTTGTCAGAGATCAAATATGAGCTACATTGGCCTCATAGGCCTTTTGTTTTATTTGTCAGGTAATAAATTATTTCAAAATTTCATTCTTATTCCATAACTGTATTCCATCATAATGTGAATTCATTATTGCTCTGACCGTTGATGTTTGAATTCATTATTGCTCTGACCGTTGATGTTTGAATTCATTATTGCTCTGACCGTTGATGTTTGAATTCTGTTTCATGGACAATGAATGGTTATGTACTTTATTGCTTTATGAAGGAATGATGTTTTTTTCTTCCTAATTGACTATAAGCTGATATCATGTGTTGTTTTTTCCCTCATAACTTGTGTTGTTCATTGATGAGGTGCCAACATTTTATAACATAAAACAGCAGAATTCATTATCTCATTCATATATTATTCTATGTAGTTATTCTACTGACATCAACAAAGCAAGGTCAAGAAAGTTGAATCTGTTGTTATTTTAAGTGTTTTTCAGTACACAGTGGATACATAGAGGTTACTTTAGCTTTGGTTGTATATTGTCAACATATTGCACATACACATCTCAATGAGACTGTCAAATTATAATTAATATATTCCTGACAGCATAAAAGGATGAAGATATTGCATTGTGACATCGTTGATGTTTACATGGATATACATTTTAAAAACTAATTGGGGTTTTGTTTACTAACAGTCGGGCAGTTACAGTAAACTGGTGTATTTATCAGCAACGATGAAAACTGTTTTTATTTCAGAGTTGATATGATGTTTATCAGAACAAAACTATTTTACTCCATTAGAACTAACTAGAGCAGCCTGCATTGAAGGCTAGCTTGTGAAATTAAATATCGTCATCTTTATTTTGTGATTACGAAACAACCATTGATTATTTAACTGCTGTCTGACAGACTAACTATATCATTTATCATCCAGATTGGCTGTGATGTTTGTAGATCACTAAAGATATCAATTCATTATGTTAAAATATACTGCAATATAACTGAAGTTACTTTATACTGTAAACACAGGGTAACTGATTCATCTATACTGTAAACACAGGGTAACTGATTCATCTATACTGTAAACACAGGGTAACTGATTCATCTATACTGTAAACACAGGGTAACTGATTCATCTATACTGTAAACACAGGGTAACTGATTCATCTATACTGTAAACACAGGGTAACTGATTCATCTATACTGTAAACACAGGGTAACTGATTCATCTATACTGTAAACACAGGGTAACTGATTCATCTATACTGTAAACACAGGGTAACTGATTCATCTATACTGTAAACACAGGGTAACTGATTCATCTATACTGTAAACACAGGGTAACTGATTCATCTATACTGTAAACACAGGGTAACTGATTCATCTATACTGTAAACACAGGGTAACTGATTCATCTATACTGTAAACACAGGGTAACTGATTCATCTATACTGTAAGAAAGACTTTTTCTTTTCCAGAAATGTTGCTTTCCCGTCGACTTGGTACTTCATTAGGTAAGTTTTGCGCATTATATTTCTATATTGTCTACTGGTGTATACCTATAACTTGTGCGTGTAACATCACTTTATCTCCTCTATATACTGTGTATAATCACTATATCACATGGTCTCAACATCAGTCTAGTTTAATAGGTGCAAAACAAAATTTTACTAAAAAGAAGTATTGGTAATTTAGTTCAAACACTTCAACAAAAATACCGTATACAGAATAGTGAATTTTCAGAATTAATGAAATTAATAATCTATCAAATGTAAATCAGGTCCTAAAATATTAGCTGTCAGTTCACATTCACACATTCCCATGGTCTGGAGCTACATGAGAGATTATAAAACACTTCTTAAAATTTATGCCTAGAGATGAAGAACAGGAAATTCCACCAAATACTTTTTCATATTCAGTTAATACCAAGAGTTACCAGATGTTTAATCCCAATTTAGAAACCCCAATTTTCATATCCTTTACTCATAGGCATGAAAGGTTATTTTTCTTTCATTTTCAAATGACAAGAATTAGCTTAGAAACCATACAAATGTGTTTTGATTTTCTACCATTTTGAAATTTCCATCTTTCTGAATTAGCCATTAATAAACTATTCGGCTTTCAATGTTATCGCAGTTTATGTAAGTAGGTGTCAGAATTTTCCCAGTTTAAGTACGTCGGGTCATTATTGTCCCATTGTTACACAGGGCACATTAAATATTGAAATTGGGTGCATAGAAATTGATAGAAATTTCCTACACCCGTTTCCTGCCTTGACAGTTCTATCGTACAAACACAAGAAGGATGGATATATATATTTGATAATTGCCACACACGTTTCTCTACCATCAACAGCGTCAGTACTGCATGATAAAGTATTATATGTCAGTACTGCATGATAAAGTATAATACAGGGAGACTGTCCCTTTCACTGCTGTCTGTGTAAGCATTCCTTCAGGATCTAAATGTAGGATAGCTGATTGCTGTGTGTAACTTGTAGAGATGCTAGTACAATGTGTATTATTGATCAGTGCATGCAGAGCTACCAGTAAAAACAAGAAAAACTTATTAAAACAATATTATAAGTTATTGGTGAAAATAACCATATCACTAACTTTGAATTATGATCATCATTGTCCAATCTGCAAAATTTTGAACTAAATTCTTCAAAATTACTGAGATGAAATTAACTTTTTTTTTTACATCAATTTTATTCTGAAATATTGTAGATAAACCATTAATGTATGTTGTGAGCATCCGACATACACTGGTAGCCCTGTATAAGTCTAGACAGCATGCTGTAGCCTGTATAATCACTATATGACACTCGCTTATTGACTTACAGTATCAAGCAGATCTTTAGATGACTCCTTTTTACGAAGTACTTCATTTAGAAAGAGCAATCGTGCTAAAGCCATCACATCACTCATACAAACCACATCCGCCGGGATGAGAAAGGCTATGCTTCGGACAAGTTGGCAGGGATCCTGGGAGAATATGTCCAGTGATCGTACACACCGAGGTCTACGGTCCCGTAGCCCTAGCTCCACCCCTCCAGGGAGTGCCGGCCCCTCACCCAGTACTCCCCGCCGAGGCGTCGTAAGTGTTGCCAACTAAAGAAGTAATTGCTATGAAAACTGTAACAATAATGATACAGTAAAACCTCGTTATACTGCCAACATTCGTCTAGAGAAACTTGGAATCATTAAGGGGTGAGATAATTGATGAAATATGTAAAGGAATTTTTAAGAAAAAGGTGAAAAGGTGACCTCGAGATATAATGGCAGTATACAAGGTAGCAAATGGATCCAGTGGCATAATATTGAGGTTTTACTGTACTGGTTTTCAAGGTTAGATACAGTAAGTACATATGGTTCTATTTCATTTATGTACCATTGAGTTATAGCTTTACTTGTCACGTATTCACCACCAGTGTAGAAATGCTGAGCACGGACCTGTTTATCTCTACCTGCCTAGATCAAAAACATACAGGAAGTCAGTGTTGATGTATAGTAAATCAGAAACATACAGGAAGTCAGTGTTAATGTATAGTAGATCAGAAACATACAGGAAGTCAGTGATAACATAATGTATAGTAGATAAGAAACATACAGGAAGTCAGTGTTAACATAATGAATTGTAGATCAGAAACATACAGGAAGTCAGTGTTAATGTATTGTAGATCAGAAACATACAGGAAGTCAGTGTTAATGTCTAGTAGATCAGAAACATACAGGAAGTCAGTGTCAGTGTATAGTAGATCAGAAACATACAGGAAGTCAGTGGTAATGTATAGTAGATCAGAAACATACAGGAAGTCAGGGTTAATGTATAGTAGATCAGAAACATACAGGAAATCAGTGTTAACATAATGTATAGTAGATCAGAAACATATAGGAAGTCAGTGTTAATGTATAGTAGATCAAAAACATACAGGAAGTCAGTGTTAATGTATAGTAAATGAGAAACATACAGGAAGTCAGTGTTAACATAATGTATAGCAGATCACAAACAAACAGGAAGTCAGTGCTAACATAATGTATAGCAAATCAGATACATACAGAAAGTCAGTGCTAACATAATGTATAGTATATCAGAAACATACAGGAAGTCAGTGTTAATGTATTGTAGATCAGAAACATACAGGAAGTCAGTGTTAGCATAATGTATAGCAGATCAGAAACAAACAGGCAGTCAGTGCTAACATAATGTATAGCAGATCAGATACATACAGAAAGTCAGTGCTAACATAATGTATAGTATATCAGAAACATACAGGAAGTCAGTGTTAATGTCTAGTAGATCAGAAACATACAGGAAGTCAGTGTTAATGTGTAGTAGATCAGAAACATACAGGAAGTCAGTGTCAGTGTATAGTAGATCAGAAACATACAGGAAGTCAGTGTTAATGTGTAGTAGATCAGAAACATACAGGAAGTCAGTGGTAATGTATAGTAGATCAGAAACATACAGGAAGTCAGTTTTAATGTATAGTAGATCAGAAACATACAGGAAATCAGTGTTAACATAATGTATAGTAGATCAGATACATACAGGAAGTCAGTGTTAACATAATGTATAGCAGATCACAAACAAACAGGAAGTCAGTGCTAACATAATGTATAGCAAATCAGATACATACAGAAAGTCAGTGCTAACATAATGTATAGTATATCAGAAACATACAGGAAGTCAGTGTTAATGTCTAGTAGATCAGAAACATACAGGAAGTCAGTGGTAATGTATAGTAGATCAGAAACATACAGGAAGTCAGTGGTAATGTATAGTAGATCAGAAACATACAGGAAATCAGTGTTAACATAATGTATAGTAGATCAGATACATACAGGAAGTCAGTGTTAACATAATGTATAGCAGATCAGAAACAAACAGGAAGTCAGTGCTAACATAATGTATAGCAGATCAGATACATACAGAAAGTCAGTGCTAACATAATGTATAGTAGATCAGAAACATACAGGAAGTCAGTGTTAATGTATAGTAGATCAGAAACATACAGGAAGTCAGTGTTAATGTATAGTAGATCAGAAACATACAGGAAGTCAGTGTTAACATAATGTATAGTAGATCAGAAACATACAGGAAGTCAGTGTTAATGTATAGTAGATCAGAAACATACAGGAAGTCAGTGTTAACATAATGTATAGTAGATCAGAAACATACAGGAAGTCAGTGTTAACATAATGTATAGTAGATCAGAAACATACAGGAAGTCAGTGTTAACATAATGTATAGTAGATCAGAAACATACAGGAAGTCAGTGTTAACATAATGTATAGTAGATCAGAAACATACAGGAAGTCAGTGTTAACATAATGTATAGTAGATCAGAAACATACAGGAAGTCAGTGTTAACATAATGTATAGTAGATCAGAAACATACAGGAAGTCAGTGTTAACATAATGTATAGTAGATCAGAAACATACAGGAAGTCAGTGTTAACATAATGTATAGTAGATCAGAAACATACAGGAAGTCAGTGTTAACATAATGTATAGTAGATCAGAAACATACAGGAAGTCAGTGTTAACATAATGTATAGTAGATCAGAAACATACAGGAAGTCAGTGTTAACATAATGTATAGTAGATCAGAAACATACAGGAAGTCAGTGTTAACATAATGTATAGTAGATCAGAAACATACAGGAAGTCAGTGTTAACATAATGTATAGTAGATCAGAAACATACAGGAAGTCAGTGTTAACATAATGTATAGTAGATCAGAAACATACAGGAAGTCAGTGTTAACATAATGTATAGTAGATCAGAAACATACAGGAAGTCAGTGTTAACATAATGTATAGTAGATCAGAAACATACAGGAAGTCAGTGTTAACATAATGTATAGTAGATCAGAAACATACAGGAAGTCAGTGTTAACATAATGTATAGTAGATCAGAAACATACAGGAAGTCAGTGTTAACATAATGTATAGTAGATCAGAAACATACAGGAAGTCAGTGTTAACATAATGTATAGTAGATCAGAAACATACAGGAAGTCAGTGTTAACATAATGTATAGTAGATCAGAAACATACAGGAAGTCAGTGTTAACATAATGTATAGTAGATCAGAAACATACAGGAAGTCAGTGTTAACATAATGTATAGTAGATCAGAAACATACAGGAAGTCAGTGTTAACATAATGTATAGTAGATCAGAAACATACAGGAAGTCAGTGTTAACATAATGTATAGTAGATCAGAAACATACAGGAAGTCAGTGTTAACATAATGTATAGTAGATCAGAAACATACAGGAAGTCAGTGTTAACATAATGTATAGTAGATCAGAAACATACAGGAAGTCAGTGTTAACATAATGTATAGTAGATCAGAAACATACAGGAAGTCAGTGTTAATGTATAGTAGATCAGAAACATACAGGAAGTCAGTGTTAACATAATGTATAGTAGATCAGAAACATACAGGAAGTCAGTGTTAACATAATGTATAGTAGATCAGAAACATACAGGAAGTCAGTGTTAACATAATGTATAGTAGATCAGAAACATACAGGAAGTCAGTGTTAACATAATGTATAGTAGATCAGAAACATACAGGAAGTCAGTGTTAACATAATGTATAGTAGATCAGAAACATACAGGAAGTCAGTGCTAACATAATGTATAGTAGATCATTGGACAGGTCAGGACCTGCCTGGATGTTAACATTTATCTATTTTGTCTTTTCGTATTGCAGAGTTATCTGCTCTTGTGAGCAGGTATTGATTGTTACGTCATTTGTTTGTGAGAGTAACATCATAAACTTTTGAAAAAACGACATAATTTTCTCACACAAACTAATGACGTAACAATCAACACCTGCTCAAAAGAGCAGATAACTCTGCAATACGTAAAAGATGGAATATACATATATGTATAGTAAAGAGCAGAATGCTGGATTACTTCCCTTTGTTAAAGGGGATATGTAGTCAACTAACACCCTAAAAATCACTCCAATATGGAAAATTTATAATGACATTACCTGAAGCTTATGTCCTGCTCTTGTCAATTTCTCGCCGTGAATTGTTCACAACCTAACTATATTATCATGACAGGTTTTGTGAAAAGATTATATAAAAAATCAACTTCGCTAAATTAAAATTCCCCAGCAACAAAAATCAGGTACATTGATTTAAAAAGACCCTTATTAAATTGCATTTGTTAATAACATCTAATGATGTCCGCTACAACAACATGAACAAGATCTTAGAAGAAAAGAAAATTCAATGTTTTTAGCTAGTATGCATTAGCATCGGGAGGATCTATGTTCTGATATTTGCAGTGGTATATCATGATATTATATTGTAAAGAATAACCATTTCACTGGCTTCAGTCTCTTTAGTGCCCTAGTTTTAACTTTTGTTATTTTTGAATTCTTATTTTCATTATCTACCCTGTAACTATAGAAACAAATAGCCAATATTACTGGATGCTGTAGCAGGACACCATCTAAACATGACTATACAGTTGACCATACCGAGCTTACTGTCCTGATAACCATAGTGTTTTAAAAACATCAACAGTACACACAAGATCTACAGAATATATAAATTAGTGGTGAAATGCATGTCAGTAATTTTGGCCATCTTAATCAGTAGGGCATGAGGGATAATGCCATGCTTTATGGTGCCTTCCTGTTCTATATTTTACTACTCAGGGTGCTTCAGGAAAACATTCTCATTGACATTGATTTGTAATATGTTCTCGTTTTACGGTGTAACCACTTACAAACGTTGTCCTGATGTCTTCTCTCTGTACGTTATATTTGTTGACAGCGGTATATTTTCCTGGAAAGAAAAAAAAGTATGACTTGTGAAATTACGTATTCAATGACTTGAACTAGAAAATAATGGGAATGGTTATCCTTTCAGAGTGCCGGCGATCTCATGCCGCCTCCGACAGCACCGGCCAGACGAAGTAGACACCACCAAGAACGCACGGGAAGTAGAGAAAGTCTGGATGAAGAAGAAGAAAGACGGTAGAAAAATCTTGTCTGCCTAAGAAACACTGTTGCATGCTCTTACTAGCTAGTGCTATAAAAAATAGTTCTTGTAATTCTTGGTCCCCAGTTTCTTAAGCTCCATGGTAGGTTTTATCCTTGTGTGAAGTCTTTGTGCTGACAGGATGCTATATACATCTAATATAGATAGAAACATTGCAGTTGACAAACATAAAAGTTGACATGAATATCAAGTTACAAATATACATTCGGGTGTTGTATGTGTATAGTGTATACATCTGATGTGTTGTGTTTAGTAGTGTGGGACAGTGTGCCTGATGATTTTGATACACAACTTAGTTTTATCATACAAAAGAGTGATTCTTTTTAACTTATGTGGAAACTTGGTGCTGTACTGAAATGATTTTTCACTTCAGAGCCCACACAAAAGATAACACTGAATTAAGATTAACAAACTAGGTTACATCGTATGTTATGATAGCTGATTTAATTTGTACGTGTCTTGGTGGTAATTGATTTAATTTGTACGTGTCTTGGTGGTAATTACAATGTTAACTATGTATTTAAAGTCTATTTTCAGGATATCCCAGACATTGTTCTTTTAAAGAGAAAATTCTAAGCACAGTGTAAAGGAATAAAACTTGTTTACAGCTGAAAAAGAAAATTTGCAAAACGAATGAATTCATTCTCAAAATACACTTTTCTGTGTAGTGTCTCACTGACACTTTTTGACCACATTTCCTCATTTTTGTGTTTCAGAATGATGGTTTCCAGATCAGAGTCAGAACCAAACTTTGGAAATGTGCAACAAAACAAAAAGACCTATGTTTGAAGTTTTTAGGATATGTTTTAACCTTTTGTTATAATTGAGATTAACTCTTAAAAAGGAAAAACAAATAGGAGATTATGTATATAAAAACACAAGACTTCTATATGCGATCAGATTTGTCTTACATTGTATACACACATGTACTTAAACTCCTGATATACCAGCACACTTACTTGTAATATTTCAATTTCACAGCTATATTTAATCTTTGTAGGTACTGTATGTTGTATGTGCTCAAATTGAAATTGCAAACAATGTCATTTCTGGTTGTGTGTTATAATTCACCTCTGATAAAAATGAACTACTGATAGTGGGTTCCGTCCTCCTGGTGACGGTGGTTTGGTATCATCAGGTCATATCATTGACTGGGTTCATTCATACGGACGTTTAAGTAGATCATACGAGAATGGATTTTAGTTTACTACTTTTGGTTGATCCCGTAATTATACTGAAAGTAAATTGATGAAATCTGTTCTGAAATATTTTTAGATATGTGCACACTATCAATATTATATTTTATCTCTCCTTTATCCTTCAATGTCATCAGATGGCAGGGATTTAGACTTGTTTACATTGTTGTTATGTACCATTGTTTGATGTTAAGTCTGTATCTGATAAGTCTGATCTGTTAAGTCTGGTCTGTTAAGTCTGTATCTGTAAAGTCTGTATCTGTTAAGTCTGTATCTGTTAAGTCGGATCTGTTAAGTCTGTATCTGTTAAGTCTGATCTATTAAGTCTGTATCTGTTAAGTCTGATCTGTTAAGTCTGTATCTATTAAGTCTGTATCGGTTAAGTCTGATCTGTTAAGTCTGTATCTATTAAGTCTGAACTGTTAAGTCTGATCTATTAGGTCTGTATCGGTTAAGTCTGATCTATTAAGTCTGTATCGGTTAAGTCTGATCTGTTAAGTCTGAACTGTTAAGTCAGTCTGAACTGTTAAGTCTGAACTGTTAAGTCTGAACTGTTAAGTCTGTATTTGTAGTCTGTATCTGTTAAGTCTGATCTATTAAGTCTGTATCTGTTAAGTCTGATCTGTTAAGTCTGTATCTGTTAAGTCTGATCTGTTTAGTCTGATCTGTTAAGTCTGATCTGTTAAGTATGTATCTGTTAAGTCTGATCTGTTAAGTCTGTATCTGTAGTCTGTATCTATTAAATCTGTATCTGTTAAGTCTGTATCTGTTAAGTCTGATCTGTTAAGTCTGATCTGTTAAGTCTGTATCTGTAAAGTCTGTATCGGTTAAGTCTGATCTGTTAAGTCTGATCTTTTCAGTCTGTATCTGTGAAGTCTGATCAGTTAAGTCTGTACCTATTAAGTCTGATCTGTTAAGTCTGTATCTGTTAAGTCTGATCTGTTAAGTCGGTATCTGTTAAGTCTGATCTATTAAGTCGGTATCTGTTAGGTCGGTATCTGTTAAGTCGGTATCTGTTAAGTCTGATCTGTTAAGTCTGTATCTGTTAAGTCGGATCTGTTAAGTCTGTATCTGTTAAGTCTGATCTGTTAAGTCTGTATCTGTTAAGTCTGATCTTTTAAGTCTGTATCTGTTAAGTCTGTACTGTTAAGTCTGTATCTGTTAAGTCTGTATCTGTTAAGTCTGTATCTGTTAAGTCTGATCTGTTAAGTCTGTATCTGTTAAGTCTGATCTGTTAAGTCTGTATCTGTAGTCTGTATCTGTTAAGTCTGTACTGTTAAGTCTGTATCTGTTAAGTCTGTATCTGTTAAGTCGGTATCTGTTAAGTCTGATCTATTAAGTCGGTATCTGTTAAGTCTGATCTAATAAGTCGGTATCTGTTAAGTCGGTATCTGTTAAGTCTGATCTATTAAGTCGGTATCTGTTAAGTCTTATCTAATAAGTCGGTATCTGTTAAGTCGGTATCTGTTAAGTCTGATCTGTTAAGTCTGTATCTGTTAAGTCTGATCTTTTAAGTCTGTATCTGTTAAGTCTGTACTGTTAAGTCTGTATCTGTTAAGTCTGTATCTGTTAAGTCTGGTCTGGTCTGTTAAGTCTGTATAACTGTTCCAGGATTTTGTTGACGACTATTAGTTCTGGATTACTCACACTTGAACTTACTCGGTCACATTCATATTATGATGTTAGGTTAGATAACTATTTTCAATTTTTCTCTTATTTAAAACTTGACATAGGTGCTTGTGTTTACAGTAGAAAGTGTAACACATATGTATGTATGTACGTGACTGTATGTGTGTACCAGGAAAGATGTCTGGTATTTACGGTACACACTTGTTTGTGTGTACAACAGGAAGTATGACACGTTTGTACAGGTGTGGGAATGTGTGTAACAGAATGTGTGACACGTTTTTGTTAAAGATAGTAAATTAAAAAGTAACTCTTACAGGTGGAGAGTAACAAAAAGCTAAAATATATATGTTTACAGCTGTTTTTATCATGAAACATTAAGTCCTTGTCTACAGGTGTTACATATAAATCCCATCTTGTGATGCACTTTACAGACATTCAGTTCAACATTGGTGTGTTAAATAAAACAAAAATAATTGAAAAACAAAAAATAAAAATAAAATATTGGGATCAATCTTAGCTTGCTATCAGCAATGATAAAAGCACAGAACCAAAATGAGAGATGAATATCTTGACAAGGGAAGTAAATGTAAATACAGAAATGTCTAATTTGTTTATTTTTCTATATACGATATATATGGTAGCATACTTTAAGTTAATAATTATTCGAAATTCTTACTCTTCTTCACGATTATAACTGATGCAGTGGTATCGCTTTGAGCTGTTGCATGTTTGGCCTGTGATAATAACGGTGAACGGAGAGTGAGTGAATTTTGTTTCATTCCATATCTATGAAGGATTTATCCAATAGGTTTTCTATTAAGGTAATAAAGATATGTTACTGAAAGTTTTCGTTTCTGTTGTAAAATTATTTAACTAAGCTGTAACATTGACGAGACATTTGGATAATCTGTCCGGTAAAACATGGACAGGACAGTTTGACAATCTGTCTGGTAAAACATGGACTAGATAGTTTGACAATCTGTCTGGTAAAACATGGACAGGACAGTTTGACAATCTGTCTGGTAAAACATGGACTAGATAGTTTGACAATCTGTCTGGTAAAACATGGACAGGATAGTTTGACAATCTGTCTGGTAAAACATGGACTAGATAGTTTGACAATCTGTCTGGTAAAACATGGACAGGACAGTTTGACAATCTGTCTGGTAAAACATGGACTAGATAGTTTGACAATCTGTCTGGTAAAACATGGACAGGATAGTTTGACAATCTGTCTGGTAAAACATGGACTAGATAGTTTGACAATCTGTCTGGTAAAACATGGACAGGATAGTTTGACAATCTGTCTGGTAAAACACGTACAGGACAGTTGGACAATCTGTCTGGTAAAACATGGACAGGACAGTTGGACAATCTGTCTGGTAAAACACGTACAGGACAGTTTAATAATCTGTCTGGTAAAACATGGACTAGATAGTTTGACAATCTGTCTGGTAAAACATGGACTAGATAGTTGGACAATCTGTCCCGTAAACACGTACAGGACAGTTCGACAATCTGTCCGGGAAAACACGGACAGGACAGTTGGACAATCTGTCTGGTAAAACATGGACAGGACAGTTCGACAATCTGTCCGGTAAAACACGTACAGGACAGTTGGACAATCTGTCTGGTAAAACACGTACAGAACAGTTGGACAATCTGTCCCGTAAACACGTACAGGACAGTTGGACAATCTGTCTGGTAAAACATGGACAGGACAGTTGGACAATCTGTCTGGTAAAACACGTACAGGACAGTTTGATAATCTGTCCAGTAAAAGACGTACAGGACAGTTGGACAATCTGTCTAGTTGGACAATCTGTCTGGTAAAACACGTACAGAACATTTGGACAATCTGTCCCGTAAACACGTACAGGACAGTTGGACAATCTGTGACAGGACAGTTGGACAATCTGTCTGGTAAAACACGTACAGGACAGTTGGACAATCTGTCTGGTAAAACATGGACTGGATAGTTTGATAATCTGTCCCGTAAAACACGTACAGGACAGTTGGACAATCTGTCTGGTAAAACATGGACTAGATAGTTTGACAATCTGTCTGGTAAAACACGTACAGGACAGTTGGACAATCTGTCTGGTAAAACATGGACTAGATAGTTTGACAATTTGTCTGGTAAAACACGTACAGGACAGTTGGACAATCTGTCCCGTAAAACACGTACAGGACAGTTGGACAATCTGTCAGGTAAAACATGGACTAGATAGTTTGACAATCTGTCTGGTTAAACATGGACAGGACAGTTGGACAATCTGTCTGGTAAAACACGTACAGGACAGTTGGACAATCTGTCAGGTAAAACATGGACTAGATAGTTTGACAATCTGTCTGGTTAACCATGGACAGGACAGTTGGACAATCTGTCTGGTAAAACATGGATTGGATAGTTTGATAATCTGTCCCGAAAAACACGTACAGGACAGTTGGACAATCTGTCCCATAAAACACGTACAGGACAGTTGGACAATCTGTCTAGTAAAACATGGATTGGATAGTTTGATAATCTGTCCCGCAAAACACGTACAGGACAGTTGGACAATCTGTCTAGTAAAACATGGATTGGATAGTTTGATAATCTGTCCCGTAAAACACGTACAGTACAGTTGGACAATCTGTCTGGTAAAACATGGACTGGACGGACGGACAGGAAAGTTGGACAATCTGTCTGGTAAAACATGGACATGACAGTTGGATAATCTGTCTGGTAAAACATGGACAGGACAGTTGGCCAATCTGTCTGGTAAAACACGTACAGGACAGTTAGACAATCTGTCTGGTAAAACATGGATTGGATAGTTTGATAATCTGTCCCGTAAAACACGTACAGTACAGTTGGACAATCTGTCTGGTAAAACATGGACAGGACAGTTGGATAATGTGTCAGTGAAAACATGGACAGGACAGTTGGACAATCTGTCTGGTTAAAACACGTACAGGACAGTTGGACAATCTGTCAGGTAAAACATGTACTAGATAGTTTGACAATCTGTCTGGTAAAACATGGACAGGATAGTTTGACAATCTGTCTGGTAAAACATGGACAGGATAGTTTGACAATCTGTCTGGTAAAACATGGACAGGATAGTTCGACAATCTGTCTGGTAAAACACGTACAGGACAGTTAGACAATCTGTCTGGTAAAACATGGATTGGATAGTTTGATAATCTGTCCCGTAAAACACGTACAGTACAGTTGGACAATCTGTCTGGTAAAACATGGATTGGATAGTTTGATAATCTGTCCCGTAAAACACGTACAGGTCAGTTGGACAATCTGTCTGGTAAAACATGGATTGGATAGTTTGATAATCTGTCCCGTAAAACACGTACAGTACAGTTGGACAATCTGTCTGGTAAAACATGGACTGGATAGTTGGACAATCTGTCCCGTACAAGACGCACAGGACAGTTGGACAATCTGTCTGGTAAAACACGGACAGGACAGTTGGACAATCTGTCAGGTAAAACATGGACTAGATAGTTTGACAATCTGTCTGGTTAAACATGGACAGGACAGTTGGACAATCTGTCTGGTTAAAACACGTACAGGACAGTTGGACAATCTGTCTAGTAAAACATGGATTGGATAGTTTGATAATCTGTCCCGCAAAACACGTACAGGACAGTTGGACAATCTGTCTGGTAAAACATGGATTGGATAGTTTGATAATCTGTCCCGTAAAACACGTACAGGACAGTTGGACAATCTGTCTGGTAAAACACGTACAGGACAGTTAGACAATCTGTCTGGTAAAACATGGACAGGACAGTTGGCCAATCTGTCTGGTAAAACATGGACTCGATAGTTTGATAATCTGTCCCGTAAAACACCTACAGGACAGTTGGACAATCTGTCTAGTAAAACATGGATTGGATAGTTTGATAATCTGTCCCGTAAAACACGTACAGGACCGTTGGACAATCTGTCTGGTAAAACAGGGACTAGATAGTTTGATAATCTGTCTCGTAAAACACGTACAGGACAGTTGGCCAATCTGTCTGGTAAAACATGGACTAGCTAGTTTGACAATTTGTCTGGTAAAACATGGACAGGACAGTTGGACAATCTGTCTGGTAAAACATGGACTAGATAGTTTGATAATCTGTCCCGTAAAACACGTACAGGACAGTTGGACATTCTGTCTGGTAAAACACGTACAGGACAGTTGGACAATCTGTCCCGTAAAACACGTACAGGACAGTTGGACATTCTGTCTGGTAAAACACGAACAGGACAGTTGGACAATCTGTCTGGTAAAACATGGATTGGATAGGTTGATAATCTGTCCCGTAAAACACGTACAGGACAGTTAGGACAGTTGGACAATCTGTCTGGTAAAACATGGACTGGATAGTTTTACAATCTGTCCCGTAAAACACGTACAGGACAGTTGGACATTCTGTCTGGTAAAACACGAACAGGACAGTTGGACAATCTGTCTGGTAAAACATGGACTGGATAGTTTGACAATCTGTCCCGTAAAACACGTACAGGACAGTTGGACAATCTGTTCCGTAAAACACTGACAGGACAGTTGGACAATCTGTCTGGTAAAACATGGACTAGATAGTTGGACAATCTGTCCCGTAAAAACACTAAATGAAAAGTTGGACAGTCTATCCCATAAAAACATGGATTTGATAATTGGTCAACTTCCCCTTAAAACACAGACAGGACAGTTGGATAATCTGTCCTGTAAAAGCACTGAATGGATAGTTTGATGATATGTCCCGTAAAAGCACCTTAATGATATTTGGACAGCCGGATTAAGATGAATCATCTTGTTGTTAATCAGGATCAAATATGATTAGATATAGGAAAACCAAGTAAGCCGAGCCGCAAGATTTATCTTTAAAATAAAATAAAAATAAAAAAAACCGCTTAATCTTGAAAACTTGCACTATTATAATTACAACATAAACACTTATATACAACTGTCTTTAAAAGTAACCATAGAAACGAAACCATTGTGTTCACTTCTGACTCGTTGAGGAGGGGACTTTATTAGCTCTTTAAATTGTTTTCCCCCATTTCTATGCTTTCGTATATTATAACTGTTGGGTTACTGAATGATATACTGTTTAATCTGGAAGTGTGATTATTGTACGTAGCTTTGTATAAAACCAAACGAGTTCCCATGGAGTTCTGTATACCCAACAACAACTACAGCTTCACTGTAGATTACATAGGAACAAGGCTCGGTCATACCAAGCTTTACCGACAAAAACTAAAGTCTACGCAAAATATTGCATAGAAATTATAGAACTGATAAACGTGTTATTCTTTATTTTAAAACGATTCCAATCAGACAAACTACTGAACATTTGCTGACATCTACTGTGTAATAACATCCTTAGATTCCCTTTCACGAAGGTTAAGTTGACCGAGCTTACCTGGTGGCGGTGTGTAGGTGCTGGGTGTCAGTATTTACTAATCCTCCTCTGACATGTACGATCATACTCCCTGTTTACAGACAGTCTATACTTGTACATCAGTCGTTAACTTTCTGCTGATGAAGTTTACATGTCACAAATGATTCACTTATAGATCCTATTTCGGGACTTGGTGGACAGATAGATATGTCCTGTTGATGAATCACGTGACCACGGTTTACATCTCTCTCCGAAGCGCATTAGATTATAAATAGTGGCCCTGACTTATCCGATTAGTGATCCTTGTTTATATCTTTAAGAAATATTTCTCAGACTTAACTAAATGTAGATGTCATGTCATGTGTTTATCCGTTACACAAATATATTTTTTATTATTTCATTACATGTTTTGATTATCCGTTATCAAGAAAACATCATAATATGAAACGAAATGCGTTCATTATGAAATGGCAACATAACCGCACTAGTTGATTAAGTCCGTTTCTTCGTCCAAGTTTTACAGACGAGTCTGTTGTGTTGATAGTTATTAAAACAAATTTAATGATTAATCAATTATTAGAATAAGAACAATATGTTTTTTTAGAATTTAAACAAAAACATTTGTGAATTATTACTTAATCAGGTAAATTGTGTAATCAATTATTCAAACAAGTATAGTACGTCATTGTATTCATTGGATAGACTTATTTCTTGTCAAAATGTTTAACGCTTTAAGAAAAAAATACAAATCACACACCCAAATACATATGTTTTGGCTTAAATTTGATATACAATCGCGGCTCCGTGGGAGTCACGTGATTCAGGTATATACCCGGGCCCGTTGAAAGGTGAGTTACAGTCAGTTTGATACAGTGCTGTGATCATGTCGACTTCTGTACTATTACTTTTTATGTCCACCGTAATTTTAGCATCAGCAGCCCAGAAAACCGAATTTGTGGAAGCACACAATTATTTCCGAGCAAAGGAGAGGGCTAAAGACATGCAAGCGATGGTAAATATATTCTTTTCAGATATTTGTATTGATGATAGAACACACAATTGTATAGAATGATATAGCGCGCACAGGCTTTATACGTAGAGACCGGCATTGGGATGGATCAGACAATTTATGAATTCTCCATTCATATGATTCAAACATTATGTTTTGGTTAAACACACAATAATGTTAATATTTAACTTTATTAACCCAGCAAGAATTAGTATCCAAAGGACCTGTTACAGGAACAAAAGAATTTTGCCCACAAAGCAATTTAACCATTACTGGGTTATATTTGTAGCTCCCTAAGTCACGACCCATGAGATATTTTTTAAAAATTAAAAAGGTCCCCAGGGCCTGTGCTATGAACTATTTAGTGCCGCCTTCCAAAGGTGTACGACAGGGTTCACTTTTTTGTCCAAAAAACTATCAAAACAATGTTTTACGCTACCAAATAATATTATATTATTTAGAATAGGATCTGCTGCAAATTATGAACTCAAATATGCAACAAAACATTGCATAATAAAAAAGTAATAAAATCTTAAACTCTAAAAATGTTGGTATTTTTATACACTTTTTTGCTACATCAATTGTTTTACGGAAGTAAAACACCAATTTCCGGTTCTTGTACACCAAAAAACTTTTAATATTATTTGGTGCATTATGTTGAGATACGATAGTAAAAATTTCAGAAAATTTGAGAACCGGTAAATTTGTCATATAAATGTCAAATTGTAGCAACGTCTGTTTCCAAATAAAATCCAACAACCTTATGACCTATAGTCATGTTTGATAATTTAACAATACGTCGCACCAATTTATTATCGCAACTGATCAAATTTTCATCAATAAGGTCTGCTGCTCATGATGAGCCCAACTATAAAGCTAGATGTTGCAAAATAAAAAAGTTATGCAGTCTCACACACATAAAAGTTTAGTATGTTATGTACATTTTTAGTTGTTTCGCATCTTTACGGAAATGATAGACATATTTCCGGTTTTTGTACACCAACATACTTTGGATATTATTTGGCACATTATGCTGACTGACGATAGTAGAAATTTCGAAAAAATCGGTAGTCGGTAAATGTGTCATCTTAAGGATAATATGTTGTATGACCAATGTCAAAATAAATCTTCAATAACTACAGATCAATGCAATTATTTCATAATTAACCTAAAATCATTCCAATATACTATCAAGGTGGATGATATGGTTTATAGTAGAGTATGACTGTTTAGCTAAACTAGGTGGTTTAAGGGGACATACAACATATTATCCTTAAGATGACACATTTACCGACTACCGATTTTTTCGAAATTTCTACTATCGTCAGTCAGCATAATGTGCCAAATAATATCCAAAGTATGTTGGTGTACAAAAACCGGAAATATGTCTATCATTTCCGTAAAGATGCGAAACAACTAAAAATGTACATAACATACTAAACTTTTATGTGTGTGAGACTGCATAACTTTTTTATTTTGCAACATCTAGCTTTATAGTTGGGCTCATCATGAGCAGCAGACCTTATTGATGAAAATTTGATCAGTTGCGATAATAAATTGGTGCGACGTATTGTTAAATTATCAAACATGACTATAGGTCATAAGGTTGTTGGATTTTATTTGGAAACAGACGTTGCTACAATTTGACATTTATATGACAAATTTACCGGTTCTCAAATTTTCTGAAATTTTTACTATCGTATCTCAACATAATGCACCAAATAATATTAAAAGTTTTTTGGTGTACAAGAACCGGAAATTGGTGTTTTACTTCCGTAAAACAATTGATGTAGCAAAAAAGTGTATAAAAATACCAACATTTTTAGAGTTTAAGATTTTATAACTTTTTTATTATGCAATGTTTTGTTGCATATTTGAGTTCATAATTTGCAGCAGATCCTATTCTAAATAATATAATATTATTTGGTAGCGTAAAACATTGTTTTGATAGTTTTTTGGACAAAAAAGTGAACCCTGTCGTACACCTTTGGAAGGCGGCACTAAATAGTTCATAGCACAGGCCCTGGGGACCTTTTTAATTTTTAAAAAATATCTCATGGGTCGTGACTTAGGGAGCTACAAATATAACCCAGTAATGGTTAAATTGCTTTGTGGGCAAAATTCTTTTGTTCCTGTAACAGGTCCTTTTAGAGATTGAAACTTGTGCATAGACTTGGGCTTAAGAATTCATCGTCAACTTTTTCTTTATAAAAGCTTTAATTAAGACTTAAAGACAAGTGACATGCCATTACTTAGTACGTACAAAACATTAGAAATCTGATTTTCGAAAATAAATAAATAGATAAACAAAATTAATGTAGTATTAGGTGACATGCGTCATTGGGACCTCTTTAATAAAATCTTTAGAACAGAGAAGTATTTTAATACTAGGTGTATATAACACACACCGTTACTTAATACTAGGTGAATATAACACACACCGTTAATTAATACTAGGTGTATACAACACACTCCGTTACTTAATACTAGGGGTATATAACACACACCGGTACTTAATACTAGGTGTTTATAACACACACCGTTACTTAACACTAGGTGTATATAACACACAACGTTACTTAATACTAGGAGTATATAACACACACCGCTACTTAATACTAGGTGTATTTAACACACACCGTTACTCAATACTAGGTGTATATAACAGACACCGTTACTTAATACAGGTGTATATAACACACAACGTTACTTAATACTAGGGGTATATAAAACACACCGTTCCTTAATACTAGGTGTATATAACAAACACCGTTACTTAATACAGGTGTATATAACACACAACGTTACTTAATACTAGGAGTATATAACACACACCGTTACTCAATACTAGGTGTATATACCACACACCGTTACTTAACACTAGGTGTATATAACAGACACCGTTACTTAATACTATGTGTATATAACACACACCATTACTTAATACTAGGTGAATATAAAACACACCGTTCCTTAATACTAGGTGTATTTAACACACACCGTTACTAAATACTAGGTGTATATACCACACACCGTTACTTAACACTAGGTGTATATAACAGACACCGTTACTTAATACTACGTGTATATAACACACACTGTTACTTAATACTAGGTGAATATAACAAACACCGTTACTTAATACTAGGGGTATATAACACAAACCGTTACTTAATACTACGTGTATATAACACACACTGTTACTTAATACTAGGTGTTTATAACACACACCGTTACCTAATACTAGGTGTATACAACACACTCCGTTACTTAATACTAGGGGAATATAACACACACCGTTCCTTAATACTAGGTGTATATAACAGACACCGTTACTTAATACAGGTGTATATAACACACACAGTTACTTAATACTAGGTTTATATAACACACACCGTTACTTTATACTAGGTGTATACAACACACTCCGTTACTTAATACTAGGGGAATATAACACACACCGTTACTCAATACTAGGTGTATATAACCCACACCGCTACTTAATACTAGGTGTTTATAACACACACCGTTAATTAATACTAGGTGTATATACCACACACCGTTACTTAACACTAGGTGTATATAACACACAACGTTACTTAATACTAGGCGTATATAACACACACCGTTACTTAATACTAGGTGTATAAAACACGCACGGTTACTGATTAGGTTGTATGCCTTAGGTCTTAACCCTCTGAAAGTAATACTTGTGCAACATAGTAGTACCCACTATTTACCTCCAGTTTATAAAAAACTTCAAACGCTACCTGTCTGTGATAACACGCGCTACCTGTCTGTGATTACACACGCTACCTGTCTGTGATTAGACACNCCTGTGATATTTGTTAAATTATCCTGTTATATTTGTTAAATTATCCCGTGATATTAGCTTGCTATTTCTTAACTATAGCTTTGAATTTACCTGCATGTTGTTTCCTTAGTTTGTCGCAAAAATAACACTACAATGCTAATGTCTATTGTTTTAAATATGTGACGTTAAATACAAATTCTTATATATTGTATTTTGTATCTTGCATGACTGAAATGTAGTTTGACATGTGGATAGCATTTTAACTGGGAAGGAAATACAACGCCCATACTAGGATTCAAACCCGGGACCTCTGTACTCTAGACGGACGCTCTCACCTGGTCACCGGCGCACGAACCAGTCCAGTTCCGTTGGACTATTATTTCTATTAGTTATCACTATTCGCAATTCGCTGTATTAAAACTATAGGCTCTATAGTAAGGATGATTATGTTTTAACGCGTGTAATCTCGTTAAATTAAGTGTCCAACCTATCTTCTCGAGTGGCAAGTGATAAGACAGGCATGTGTTGTGTTCATCATTATAATCCATTCCGATGCATGCAGCTTCTTTTATGAATTTAAATATTTATGAGTAGGAATTCGACACTAACGGTGATTTTATTGTATCTGGGCGTGTAGAACGATTACACCCCAACAGCTTCTGTCGTTACTCCCGCAGTCACAGGTGTGGACGGACAATCTACCAATGAATGTCTGTATAGTAGGACCATTTATCAAAACCTCATAATTTCAATAATTCAAATAAAACTGCGAGAAATATATGGCAGTCCTCAAATAAAACGATTGTTGAGACTGAATTATCTACGTTGCTAGGCGGATGATATGTGTTCACACCACCTGTCAGGGATTTATGTATTGCTACTTGGAAAGAAGAATCGTGTGAGATGTTAACAAAGACAGTAGGGTTGGGCTTCCAATTTCGAAAATGAGAACCTGGCCAGGCCATGCGTGGAGTATATCGAGCTATATTCACCCTCCTTGTTTCATTCATTGAGTAGAACTCTGTACTTCGCCTTACTTCTAACAGATACATATTCACCCTCCTTATTTTGAAGTTGCTGCCTATATTAACTCTATATTTCGCCCTCCATGCTCTTTATACCTGGAGTAGAAATAGAAATTTATATTTCATTCTCCTTGTTTTCACCTTCAACAAGTCTATACTTCACC